ACACACACACACACACACACACACACACACACACACACACACACACACACACACACACACACTCACACAGTTACAGAATGAGAGGAAAGTGCAACACTCAGGTCAACAACAGCATCAGTGGCGTTACGCCCTCAGTAAAGACTGACAGGAAGCTGACAACCTGAAGGCATCACATGACCAGGTCACATGACCCAGACAGGAAGTGTTTCAGACCAGAATACACACATTTAAAACACTGCTGATTAAACTTTCATTAAATAAAACTTTGATCTGATTTTCTGTTGATCCGTCAGAAAAACAAAATATTCGGGATCAAAGATAAAGAGTGAAAATTAGATTTATTTTGTTCTTTTCTGCAGTAAAAAATAAATCTATTTTCTTTATTAAAATTTAGACGTTAAATAAGATTTATTTAATCTGTTTCTGATTGATCAGAAACAGATTTAGATGTAAACAGAAGCTGAACTTCCTGTTTGGGCTGTGCGTGGCGGTGGGCGTGGTGATGCAGCTTCAGGTGGGCAGCGTTCTGTTTGTGCAGCTACCTGTTGGAAGACGCCTGGACGCGGCGCGTACCTGTCTGGAGGCGGAGCCACAGTCTGTAAGGCTGGCAGCCACATCATCACCGTTGTTGTTAATCAGCTCGTCCAATGGGAGAAGATGTTGTTCCTGAGAGCTCTGCTGATTGGTAGAGAGGAGGCGTCAAGTGACGAGACCACGGCGTGTCAGGAGAGAGGGGGAGGGGCCAGATCTTTTCAAAATAAAACTAGATTATAAAAGAAAAACAGAGAAGAGCCTTGATTTACAGACATGTCAGTTTTCTTCTATCAGGTTCAGGTCCAGTTCTGTACAGTCCCTCTCAAACACAGCCTGCTGCGCCGCCTCCCGCTCCTCCACCTCCTCCTCTTCGTCCTCGTCATCCTCGCGGCACTCCTCGTCGCTCTCGCTCAGCGGGCCYATGCTGGTCCTGCCCAGGCACTCGGCCGGCGAGCAGGAGCGTCTAAAGTCACTCATGAAGGTGTCCACGCCCTTACAGACGTCCCCCCCGCTGGACAGACGTCCACCGCTGCGCTCCAGGCACTGAGGGTCCATGCTGCGCGTCTGCAGGGGGACAGGAAGAGGTCAGGTGARTCAGAACTGGCCCCTCAGGTCTGGTCCTGGTCCTGCAGGGTTTATACCAGGCTGGTCCAGTCCTGGACCCACAGGGACACCATCCTGCAGGTTTTATACCAGGCTGGTCCAGTCCTGGACCTGCAGGGACACCATCCTGCAGGTTTTATACCAGGCTGGTCCAGTCCTGGACCTGCAGGGACACCATCCTGCAGGTTTATACCAGGCTGGACCAGTCCTGGTCCTGCAGGGACACCATCCTGAAGGTTTATACCAGGCTGGACCAGTCCTGGTCCTGCAGGGACACCATCCTGAAGGTTTATACCAGGCTGGACCAGTCC